TTAAACTCTAATGAACTGAATGAAACCATTGATTTCCATCTCCAAACCCATCCTTCCCCCTGGCTTTTCTAATTCTTATTGGCAACTCTATTCACCTAGTTGTCCCAGCCAAAAACCTAGAAGTCATTCCTGATTTCTCTCTTTGTCTCAATTACCTATCCAATCCATCACCAAGAATTGTTGGCTCTGTGTCGACAATATATCACTAATTTATTGAATTTTCTCCATCTCCATTGCATTCCCAGTCCTAGGCACCATCCTCTCTTTTCTAGACTGCTGAAATTATTCTGCTAACTGGCCTCTTTTATTCTACTCTTACTTCCTCTATGGACAATTCTCCATATGGCAGCCAGAGTGCTCTTTAAAACATAAGTCAGATCATGTTGCTTCCTTGCTTAAAGCTCTCTAATGGCTTCCTGATGTACAAAAATAAATAAATAAATAATAAAAAGGAAGCCACACTTTTTACCTTAACCTGTCACATCCCATGTGTCTGGCTCCTGTTCGCCTATAGGCACTCATCTCATATCCTCTCCCACTCCCTCCACTCCAGCCATATTGGCCTTCTCTCTGCTCCTGGAACAGACACTGGTTATCACATTGGGCCCCCCCCCCTTACCAGAACTCTTCTCTCAGAGCTTCTGTGGCTGGCTCCTACCATTAACATTAAATCCTAAACATTACCTCCTTGTAGCCATGTTTTCTGCATCTCTAAATCATTTTCATCCCCTCACTCTACTCCTCCCCACGCTGAGACATCACTCTAATATATTATCTTTGTTGCAGATATAACTCAGAAATTTTCCTATTAATAATTTGTTTATGATTTTACTGCCCACCTCTGCTGTCCATTCTTCTACTCTCTACTCCCATGTAAGTTCCTTGGGAGAAGGAGTCTGTCTGTCTTGTTCACTGTGAATCCCTGCACCTGTAGCAGTGCCTAGCACCTACAAGTTTTCAGTAAGATGTAGAGCAAGTGAATGAATGAATGAATTTTACTCTTCAGCTTATTTCAAGTGAGAAAGAGGGCTGTGGTATACAGGGATGCAGATATACCTCTTCCACTGTACATTTTTAACATGGAAAGAAATCATTGCCCTTTCCACAGTGGTTGAGTTTTGTGCCTTTCTCTCTGCATCTCTTCCTGGCATGTCTTTAGCACTAAAGAGTTCTGAAGAAAAAGGGAAGTCTCGGTTCTAATTCATAAAGAAAAGTTATCTTACTTGGAAGACAGGACACATGAACT